ATCTATGCACGAGAGAAGTGCGAGGATTGCCGCATATTGCCCCCGTGTGGCTCGGTGGTGAATCAAAGCTCTGACTCGCACTTATTTCCCTTCTGTCTATGCTTATTTCACTTCAAGATGACTTTGGAAAGGACTACTTTTCTTTTACTGTCTATGCTACTTGCACAACTACTTCCGCGTTCTACTTATTACATATCGGGAGTTTCCGGTTAGAGTGTTCATCGCACATCCATGAGAATGCAGATTATCACTACATTTTATGAATGCCAATGGGCTTTATGGCCAGCTGCACTACTTCCTGAACTTCAGCCTGCTCCTTGTTTCCTGTCTGCCATTATTGGTCAAATTGATTAATTCAGGTGTGCTTGACCTCAGTAGTCATGGCAACAATAATCAGACACACCTGAATTAATCAATTTGGCCAATAATGGCAGACAGGAAACGAGGAGCTGGCTGAAGTTCAGGAAGTAGTGCTGCTGGGCATAAAGCCAATTGATTAAAACAATACTGACCTCTGTATTAATTATCTTGAGCCAAACAACTGTTCCATTCTGAAAAATAAATAGGCTAAATATGTAATAACTGAAAATTATCAAATAAACTAGGTCTAACAGGAGCTAAATTAGACCATTTTGCAAGATGTAAACAACACGGGTCCAGAAGCACTTCCTGTTTCAGTTTTTTAACACTACATAAAAGCTGGGATAAAATACAACAGAACATGTAAAACTGAATCAAAAAGTTAAACAACATCTTTAAGATGTTTTCTTTACATGTGAAATAAAGAAAACAGTTACAAACTGAAACAAAAATTCAATTGCAAAATCAGGTAGCCTATTTATTATTGTTGAACCTTGTTTAACCTCATTTTCATCCATTATTGGAACAATGTTTTTGATGATATTAAGAGGATGTAGCCCTTTTAAATTTCTTTCATAATGCTCTTATTGATTTTTGTGCCTGGCTAATTCCATGACAATAACATGAGATACAAATACATAAAAAAATGCAATAAAATATCTACAGAATATATAGTTACATATTTACAAAATATTTTTCAATTTACACTGCTAGTTGTAGGCTAGTCCTTGTGCTTCAGGATTCACATTTGACTGTCTAGTCTGTAATTATGATGTGGAAAAGACATTATCTTATTTTACTCATAAATTATTTTTTACCCATGGCTCCAAAATGCAAATTCTAATGGTTTCGTAATGCAAAATGAACCGCTCTATAATTGTGTTTTCAGAATTAAATTATGGAAAAATAAAATAATAATTAAAAACTAATCTTTTTAAAACATTTCTGTTGTTTAAACGTGCCATTTTTGGATCCACAAGGTGGCAGCGCGCGTCATGTCGTTGTTTTGATCGCCCATGCAGACATACGGCGAAAAAGAAACTTTATCACTGCGGAAGACAAAACATGCACAAAATAACAAAACCCAAGCTGGTTAAAGTCAGAAGTGCCAACCAGTCAAAAAAATACGGAATTGCGGCGGTTAACCTTAAGGAGCTGATTAAAAAAGGATGTCATTTACTAAAGGTGTAGTAAAATGTGTGTTAATGTGGTTTATTAAGGAGAGAGTGTCACTGTACAATGCGTTTGAATACAACAGTCAAGCATCATATTTTATGCACAGGTATCCAGCTCCGGAATACAGGTTTGCTTGTACGAGGATGGAACTGTAGTTACCGAAGAATATTTTCAAAATCTTCCCGATAACACTGAACTTGTTCTCCTGCCTGAGGGACAGAACTGGAATGGCCGTGAGTTTATTACATTGACTTACAGTTGTAATGTAAATGGAAAACATTGCTTGAAATTAATAATGCAATAAAACAGGCCACGAATCATATTGCTTTGGCTTGTCATTTTCTACAGTTGTTCATGAAATAAATCAAGTACTGGGATTTAACAGACACACAGACCTTCTGATCAGTGCAGCAAAAGACCTTATGTCAGATGAACAGTCTCCCAAACGGCGCAGAATTCTGGGAGACCTCCTGAGGAACCTGAGGGACAACTCCGAGTTGGAGAGCAGAGAAGATGATAAGGAGTGGTTTGAAGGTAAATGAGGGAAAAGAATAAGTAGACATTTGCTCTTTTACTGTAACTGACTCTTCTGATGTGCTATTCACAGACACAGAACGTATTTAATTTCTTGCAAAAATGTTTTCATTTTGTTGTTTTAATCATGAATGTTTTAACGGCTTTGAGGTACTCCATTTGACCTGAATTTAACCTGGCCTTTTTGTATATTGTATCTTGATTCTGTGTTCTTTTAGTTTTAATATGGTTTAGTACTTCCTTTACTGTCAAACAACAACTATAATAATAAAACAATATTTCAGACTCTCACGCAGTTATTTCACACAGATGATACACTAAACAAACTTGTCTATTATAACTATACCAAAATAATACATGAAACAGACAATTGGACTAATATACTAGAAGCATCTGAATAACTGTTGTTTTCTGAAATTTGATCATTTTTACTAACCTTTAGTGATAAATGAGAGTGAGAGAGACAAAACTGTTTTATTCCAGTGGTCATCTCTGTGTTGTTTGAGGATGCGCCACAGTTGTCATGGCAACACTCAACTCCCAATTGTCACTCAGAATTCAAAAAATGCCACTGGACTGTCCAGTGCAAACTCATATAATTAAAGTAATTTAAATAAAACATATATATATATATGCAAATATTGTAAATACATTGAAATAGACATATATAAATACAAAATAAAAGATATACAAATACAAAATTTATGAGACTCAAATGTTCTGGGTGGTAACACTTGCATATAAATGATGAGCCTATATTATTGAATATAACTCACAAAGAACATGTCCAGGTTACACAGAATTGTATCTAATGTATAAATGTGTTGTATTTGTGAGCATTGGCTCATTTTTCTCATGTCTATATATCAGGTATTGATGCCCGGTTTAAAACCAAGTCTGCTTACATGAAGTATAACTGCGAGAACAGAGTCCGGGGATATTTGAAAGAGGTGTGACAAAATGCATTCAGTTCTGCTTTAAATGTTTTTGAAATGTTGAAGATATTATATGTAGTGGAGTTTATCATTTATTTTGTGCAGTAAAAAAGACCTGCTATCACTCTGAATGAGATATATTCTATTCACTGCCCATAGGTTGATGGATATACGCAGACTATTCCAAATGCCAAGACAAAAAGTGAGTATAAAAAGGTGGTGGAGATCTTGGCAGAGAAACTGAAGGCTGCACGATACAACGGCACCTATTTTGACAGATCGGAGAAGGATGTCCTCAGGCTCTGCACTGAAGAAGGCTGGTTCTCCTGCCAGGTGTTGTAGTTTAGTCATTTCTAATGAGTCTCATTCAGTTCAGTCCATCGAAGGAAAATAATGAAACCTAATAATATAAAAGAGCTTTCATTAAAATGTAAAAATTCCTGCGTTTCTTGCAGTGGGACAGTAGTTTCTATTTGTATAAGACTAGAAAAGATTTTTACTCTTACAGGGTGCCTTTGATGAGAACAACTGCACATCTCTCCACTCAATAAACCCGTATGGGAACCGCGAGAGCAGAATCCTCTTCAGCACCTGGAATCTGGACCACGTGTGAGTAGTGCATCTTAAATGTAAATGTTTAGAACAAACAATCACACTGCCGGCCAAAAGTTTGGAATGATTGTCATTTAATGTTTTTGAAAGAAGGCTCTTATGCTCAACAATGATGCATTTATTTAATAATAAAAAAATACTGTGAAAAACAGTAATATTGTGAAATATTATTAGTTTAATATAACTTTAAAATATCTATTGTTATACAAATTTAAAATGTTATTTATTAATTTGGTGGTAAAGCTGAATTTTCAGCAGCCATTACTCCGGTCTTCGGTGTCACATGATCCTTCCGATTGACTGCTGGTAAATTTCAGGATTTTTTAATGAATGGAAAGTAAAAATAACTTTTATTTGAAATTAAAACCCATTTGCAACATTACAAAGTCACTTTTGATCAATTGAATGCGTTTTTGCTGAAAAGTATTATTATTATTTTCAATGTTACTTACACCAACTTTTAAATGGTTGTATATATCACAGTAAATATTTCACAATATTACTATTTTACTGTATTTTTGTTCAAATAAATGCAGTCTTGGTGAACATAAGAGATTTGAATCTTAATGTTCTCTCCTGATTTTAACTTCAGTATTTAGGTCCTCTGATAATGGTAACTTAAGAATGAATTATCCTGAAATCCAGTTAAATGAGAAAAGCTGATGTATGTTTCAGGATAGAAAAGAAGAGGACTGTGATCCCTGCACTCGCTGAGGCACTGAAGAATGGTAAGAGCGGAGATATAAACGTGGATTATTTCTACAAACTGTTCTTCACAAGAGAGAATCTCAAGCTGGTTCACATTGTCTGCCATAAGAAAGGGGCCCATGAGCTCAGCTGTGACTCCCGAAAAATCTACAAGCGGGTCAGGAGGACTTTGAAATGAAAGAACATCCATAATCTACTTATGAAAAATGCAGCACATAATGTGAGCTCCTCTGAGGCATTTATCATAATAATGCTCAGGTATGAGCATTTCTAATTTTAACTTTTAGTTCCAAACAAATATTTGTACCAAAGCAACAACTATGTTTAAATGTAAAGAATTAACTTCCTTATGGTTTTATAAAAGTGAATGATTTTATATTTTTACATTTGTATTTTTACTCGTTTATTTAAATAAAGTCTTTGGTTCATATTTCTTTCCTTTTCCTGTTTTCTGCCAGAAGCCAGTGATTTATTAAAATCTTGTATCATCAGATATTGGAAACATGTGTGGGAACAGGATGTCTTGTACAGCAAATGCTTTACAATGGTCTTATTTGTTGTACAGAATACATAAGCCTTACCTGAAAAAATATTCTTTACATTTTAATAAACTAAACAAGGTTAAATATGAAGAAATAAATATAGTAATACGATTGCACACGCATATCAAAAAAGTGATTTTTCCGAAGTCATTCATGAGGTTTATTTTCTCTGGACGGAGTATTGTACTTTTGTATGATAATACACTGAAGACTTGATAATGGCATGTACATACAAGGCATTTGGTAACAAAATTAGCACTTGATTTTTTTTTTTACTTCAATAGAAAAATATAAACTTCAAAATCACAATTTTTACCTCAGACAATTTGTACATAGTAGCAAAGAAACTACATATTAAATTATTACATATTTGAGCTACTAGTGAAGTTAGTGCAAATCCAGTCAAAAAAAGATACAAATATCTTCATATACAGACAAATTCCTAGTGGAGCAACATGCGAAAAAGAGCTTGATTGGTTAAAAATTACAACTTATCATATCTTAAAATAAAACCCTCTTAATTTGAGATACTATTCAATAAAAAAAAAAACCTTTACATCATTGGCATATCAAAAAACATAAGAAAAAAATAACATGCTTTAATTTAATTATACAGCACCATACCATAAGTATAAAGAGTTTTTTTTCTATTCATTCTCAACAGAGATGGTTTAAAAGTGCCAAATTCAGAATGTTTTAGAGTCTTAATAGCAAACTTGAGGCACTTGTCACTGATAACTTTATGTTTGTTAATTTTTTAAGCTTAGTAAGGACTAGTGGTAGAAAACCCAGTGTGCTGGTCAGCGCTGCCAGATTAACCTTATGGTACACTGTGTCAAGAGACTTTTCTATATATTGTAGCTTTCTTTCAGCACAAGCCCCAATCACATGATGGTTTTAGCCTTAAGTCTAGCACAAAACCCTCTTACTGTACATTCCATTAATGCAGCACACATGTAATGGTCTAAAGTTGCCATTGATAACGTACCTCATTAAAAATTTTTAAGAAAACATTACTGATAAATCAACACAGTGCATTTCAGTGTAGCTCAAACATTATAATTGAGAAGGATCTTGGAATAAAATAGCTTGCTTTAAAACAATCAAGTCCATTTTACCAGCATACTGTAAAACTCCTCCCAGGTCAGTCGAACTCCTGCAGGCTTCAGGTCAAAACTGTGGCAGACAGTTTGATACGGTTTCAGAGCGGTCGTGTGCTCATGGACGCTCATCTTCACTGTCCTCTTTGGCATAGTAATGCATGCTCCTGTACTCTCTCCGACTCATTCTCTTGCTTCCTGGGGTTCTGCGTGGGTAATCCTGAAACAAATCAGGTCAGAATGTTTTAAAACAAAGCCATATTAAGACATTAAAATTGTATCAATGACAGCTGGCTATTGAATGTATGTATTATGAAAATCAACCCGACACCTGAGGCGTTTTGACACCCAATTGAGAATTCACGGACCTTCATTCCAATAATCCTACATGCTGTTGTATTAACCTCAATATTTCAGGATTACAGTGCGCAAAAATGCCATCTGGCTGCATGTTATTTATCTGGAAAGCTTAACGTAGACCAGAGTTATGTTACTGGGGCAAAGGGAAATTAAAGTTCACATCCTGCATGGCCCCTCCTCAAATTTAATCCATTTAATTCCAATCTTTTCTCAGTTAAGCCAGCACATGCACTTGAAAACTATACAATATTGTATAATATTTTTTTTTATTATTAATAATATAAATTTTTACTTTCTGGCAATTGTTGGGGAGAGGGGAGGGGAGTAATAATTTATACAATTTAGACAACTTTATACTGTTTTTTTCTCCTTTAATATTCAAATGTATTGTATTTTGACCATGACTTATATCAGACTGAGTCTGAGTCTGATACATTAATTAGAAATGTGAACACACTTTGTTATATTATATCTACCGTTTTGTTGTGCTACACATTTCCTTTAGCTTCTACACAGACGTCAACCTCTGGTCACGTGACAATTTTCAACAGCCACGTAAGATTGTCAACATTAAATCATTACGGTTTTTTACTTGACTTTATATTTGTAAAACATTAACTCTTTTAGACCTATCAAACGTAAATGCTGGCCAAGGATGTTTGAGGCGAATTAAGTTTAAATCTAGCGCTATTCCTCTGTATCTCTGCTGATTCCCATCCCAATCATAATAAAACGTTCTCAATCGGTTTAACGTTAACTTACCTGGACAACATCCAGGTTCCCAAAGAACTGCTCCACTGGGAAAATGTGATTGCTATCCTCGTCAAAAAAAATGCTCGGGTCCTCTCGCGTCTGGGGACTGTGAACGATCTGTTCCATCTTCACCTCTGCAGAGCCGCTTGTCAGACCCGTACACTTGACGGCAGAGTTCTCTTTACCGCGCCGTTCAACCGGAGTCTTTTTCCCGGGCTGAATCTTGACGGTTTGATCAGTGCTCGCGCTGGAGCTCTCCTCGACTTCACCGTGAAACGGTCTCTTTGGGAGACGTTTGGCCTCGCCGCCGTCGCCAGCCATCTGCCGCGCTGCGCTCGCGATAAGAGACGCTGATCTCTGCAGCAAACCGCGCAGAACTCTCCTCCTCACCGCCCTCTGCGAATAAAAGACCAATAGTAAACGTATTTTAAATGAATACAGTATTAGCCCGGTTTTAGACATGGTTGAGACATCGTGAGAAAGCTTGTTAAATAATATAGCGCTTTACTGTAGCCGACAGACGGAAACTGTGGGGAGGAGGAGATGGTTGGGTAGACACTGACACACACTGACCTTGACTGAACTTTTCACACCGGGCGGGTTTAAAGAGACAGCACCGCACACTCGCGGTCTGTGGCTCCCAACGACAGTCTGGAACAAGACAATATCAAGGACTTCAATAATGCATCTGCCTCGCCGTCACTAACGAAATAGCTAGCGTTTCGTTTGAACGAACATTTGAGTGAACACACCTTTTTCGTTCACTTTTATGCACAGATATAGTCCTACTTTTTGTTCAATGATGTATTTTCTTCTCTTCAGTCTTTAAAGACCAACATCACAACGAATAAGCACCTCGATAAACAAGACACAATTCATGAACGAATTGAATAAACGAATCATCTTGGTCGTGACCAAACTGAATGAACTGGGACAAAACTTCAATCAATCAGAATCAGTCCAGTTCGTATTAGGTAGAGAAAGGCAAAAGGGTTGGAAAGTAATGGACATGCCTAAAAAAAGACCATGCAGTTTGTATGACTCATTACACAAAAAGAACAACACCCTCTGGTCGACGACTACATGCAACGATGGGTCACTGAATTAACCCGTAAACGGATCTTTCTACTGAACTGATTCAAAAGATTCGACTCATTGGTGAGTCAAAAACTAATAGGGGCAATGGCTCACAGATAAACTTGCTTTTAATAAGCCACCCATTAAAAACAATTTGATTATCATAAAATTCAAAGCGCGTGCACCACCTTAGTCTGCACGCCAAACGTTTTAATACTTTTACTAAAAAGTTATTTTAGTAAATTACTTTTCACACTAAAAGCTGACAACTGCACAAGTCGAAACTGCATAAACTCAGGATTGTACACGTTCTTACTACAGGGGAAAAAAAACAGTTTAAAAGCAAAAGTTCTGAATTACGTTATCTTACCTGCTTTGCCCTCATTGAAAGTTTGCGACCAAAACTGATGTGGACTGGAGTCCTGCGAGTGTTTATCTCCGGTGACGGCTGAAGCCCCGCCCACATCCAATAATCTACGCTACACAGAATCACGAGATGGGTGTTGAACATTTTATTTCAGGCTTTTCTGAGGCTGCGGCTAATATCCATCAATTAGTAGCTGCGTAGTCTGTTTGTATAGAATACTGAAATTTAGTTTGCCCTTATAGGTCTAGTGAAAGCGATCAAAAGTAGGCCTAGGCTAGGCTACATGGGATCATGGCAATTGCCAAGTTAAATCATCGTAGAAATATGTCGAATGAGTCATACACTTTATTGTGATTGTGACTTAATATGACGTGAATATATGATATTAGGACCAGCCTCTACTGATGACAATATTATTTGACACTGTACTGTAGGTATTAAGCTTTAGTCAAAGGTTCCTCAAAGATTGTCATTCTGAAAATTGTTTAATATGCCTGCTGCCTGACATCATCATAGTGGACATCACAAGCTTAAACAATTAGGCCTAATGATCTCACATGGAGATTTCATTGGCAAATGAGAATGTTAAGCATTATATATATATGGTAAAATATATGGTTAAGCATTATATAGTGGTAAAATTTTGTGTGTATTTGTTTTATATTAAAGGACAAGTTTGGTATTTTACACTTAAATCCCTGTTTCAAGATCGTTTCTGATGAAATAGAACGGTTAAGATTAAAATTTGGACACATGCTGCTGTCCCGAGAAAATTAGGTTTCTGTGGTTGCACCCTGAACCCTGCTGAAAAGTTCATCCATCCATCATAAAAGTAATCCAGGGGATTAATAAAGGCCTTCTGAAGCAAATAAATGGGTTTTTGTTTTCTATATCTAAAACTTTAAAAACTAAAATAACTAGCTTCCCACAAATGCAAGTTGACTTATATGAGTAACCCTTGATGCAATGGAGGATAGCTTTGATGCCTCTATAGGGTTAGAAAACAAACTTAAAATCCTCTGACATTTCTCTTAAATATTCTCGTTTTAGACTTCTAATTCGTGACTGGTGTTTTGTTTTGCTCTATCCTCTGAGTCAAATGCATCAAGTCAGGGGTTGCTCTTTCGTTTAAATTGATGCGTACGGCCATCTGTCAGAAATAGGTTATACAGTTTTACATTTAGATTTTTCTTACACAAACGCACCACTTTAGAAGGCCTTAACCATTAGAGCCATGGTCCGTGTAAAGTACTTTTATGATGGATGGATGAACTTTTTTGGAATTCAAAATCTCGTCCTCCATAAAGTTTGGAAGAGCCAGGCATTTTTTAATATATCTCTGATTGTATTCCTCTGAAAGAAGAAAGTAATATACACCTTTAATGGCTTGAGGGTGAGTAAATCATGGGGCAATCATTTTATTTATTTATTTATTTATTTATTTTTAACTATCCCTTTAAGCTGAATGGGGCTTATTAAGGCAGTAGCAAGCATTTGAGGACACAGATTAAATACTAAATTGTATCACTTGTAACAGAAGAAAAACATTCCAAAAATACCTTGGCTCTATCGCTTTGAACCACACGGGGGAGCTAAATACTAAAATAATTTCAGTAAGTTTAGTGATAAACTGCGATAACTTCCAATGTGCTTGTGGGGTGGATGTGAAAACGGGGTTAAACACATTTAAAAAACAAGTTACTTCAACTCCAATATTTACATAAACTGAATAGCCTACGTAAATAGTCCTCGCTCCAATTCTTCGTCTGCACACTCATATTCTACGCTTGCACAGCTGTCGTGTGTAACCAGAGAGCCTGTAGCAGGTAGGTGTCGTGACTCGTGAAGGTGGAGGAGAGGAGGGCAGACGGAGTGGACGATTGTTTTACAGGATGACTGCCTCCCATTTTCAGCAGTTTAACGATGGAACTTGAAAAGAGAAGGACCTGTTACGGCAATATATGAAGGGGACAACAGACAAAAACAGTCTGACAGGAGAGAAGTGGAGCGGACAGCCTTTCCAGCTTAATCAAAATGCCTTAATATGGACTATTCGATGATTTTTTTAAATACTTTTATAACACTGTTTTAACCCAAATTCACGGAAATTGATTACCGGTGACATGACTATCTTATCATGACAAAACCGCTGGTCAACCGAACAGACTGTTCTCCGAGGAGCGCGTGCGTAATGGAATTCTTTTGTAGAAAGAAAAGGAATTTTAGAGCTGCGGTGAGCCTTACTTTGATTTTTGCCACTTTACTGATGCTTCAGAAATTAATAACAGTCACGGACCCGAATATTAAAGGTGTCAACGTGAAAAACAAATGGTGTGGACCCGAATGTTCGTCATTCAAAAGAAAAAGCATAAAGGCAGTTGAAAATGCATCTCAATCTCGCTGGAATGACTTGGAGCAGGTGGAAAAATCCATGCCAAAACAATGGGACGTGGATAGAATCATATGTAGTGAAAATTCCACGATAAAGACTCAAGCCTGGTTTCGTCGTTTGAACCCAAGGTTCCGCGAATTTGTCCTACACAGGCATTGCAGATACTTCCCAATGTTGCTGAATCACCCCGAGAAGTGTAGCGGTGACGTGGATGTTCTTGTCGTGGTCAAATCGGTTATTGAAGAACATGACCGACGAGAGGCCGTACGACAGACCTGGGGAAAGGAGGCAGAAATCCAGGGCTTGAAAATAAAAACGCTGTTTCTTTTAGGAACTCCTGCCAGTGGCAAAGACGCACGGAATTTACAAGCCCTGGTCCATTATGAAGACCGAACTTACGGTGACATCTTGCAGTGGGACTTCATGGACACCTTCTTCAATCTCACTTTAAAGGAAGTGAACTTTCTGAGGTGGTTCAACATCTACTGCCGTGGAGTTCCCTTCATCTTCAAAGGGGACGATGATGTGTTTGTCCACACCAAGAACCTCGTGGAACTAATTGGCTTTAGAGTGGATGAGAACAGGGTGGAAAACCTCATTGTAGGGGACACTATTTTTGAAGCTAAACCGATCAGAAACCACCAGAGTAAATATTTCATTCCGAAAGAGTTGTATGATACGCGCTATCCACCTTATTTGGGTGGGGGAGGATTTCTAATGTCCTCTCAGGTGGCTCGCAGGCTCTTCGTGGTGTCTGAGAGCGTGGAGCTTTACCCCATTGATGATGTGTTTTTGGGCATGTGCCTTCAGAAGCTGCAGATCGTGCCCGAGCAGCATCTAGGCTTCAAGACATTCGGGATCATAAAGCGCAAAGTGACGCCGCTGAACCGGGAGCCGTGCTTCTTCCGCAAACTCATCGTGGTGCACAAACTCGCTCCGCAGGAGCTGATGCGCATGTGGAATCTTGTACAAAACGAGTACTTGATCTGCGCCAGACAATTCGTAATCGACTAGCTATTTACAAAGACATAAAGTAGATATTCTTTCAAATGACACGTGTTTGCTGATTTAACCTTTCTTTTTTTACGTTTTCTAAGCGACGATGACGACTACTTGTGTTATCAATTGTCAAATGTAATAAATCACAAGTTATTATCGTTTTCCAATTCACCATCTTGGGGAACAAATATTGTTCTAAAAAACGGGCTAGTTGTCACACTTGAATGTTTCTCAGGGTAGATTTATTTTTCCAAGTACATTTTTAAACGCATACCATATAGCTACAAAATTTGTATGTCAATTGTGAAGTTCACCAGGAACCTTACAAAGAATGGAGTGTAGATTTTAAGCACCATATAGGCCTAAGTAAGATTAATTAAAGTGTTTTTATGTGTGAAGTCAAACCTTCAGCATTGTGCAAGGAACAAACTGACATTTAAGTCGGCGTTCAGTTCACTCCTATATTGTGCTTTTGCCAAAAATCTTAGGCTCCATTCAACATAATTTAATTTTTGGGTAAACAATTACCCCATGGCCATGACACCCAATCAACACCTAACTTTTACAAAGCTAAATATGTGGAGAATTTTTTTAGATTAAAAAAAAAAGATTGTGAAAACTTTTTTCAAATACATTTATTAAAATGGCTTCAAATAAATAAAGCTACAAAGCAGATGTTAGCTTCCGTTAATATCAATGCACAAAGAGCTGAGGGGCGTATCTGTTGTGACAATTAAAATTACAATAAAGAATTTCTATATGGTAACAATATTACACTTAAAATTAGCTTCAAACTCTTGTTGCACATCTAAGTGCAGACAGTCTGTACAGACAATATTAAAGCTATTAAGGGAAAGTGGCCAGACTAATGATATCCTTAAGAACTCACAATACACATTTGTTCATCATTTGCTGACTGGAACCAGTTTACTATGAGACAAAAACTGCTGTGCTTCTTAATTCTGGTACTATGACTAAAATAAATCTAAATTAAAGCAAACACAAACAAATATCCTATGACATTCTACCATTATAATCTACATTATCTATATATAGTACAACTGTCAGACTTATGATTGCAAAATCAATACTATTTGGGTATCAATCCTCTATCTGTGCAACAAACAGAGTTATCACTTTTAGAAAACTTTCTCAACTCCGAAAAAAATGCTTAGTTTGACTTATTTAAATCAATAAATAGTTCATATTTAAATATTAGACATCTCAGTAATCCCCCTATACATGAGTGAATCATGTCTGGAGGAGTTGATGTATGTCAGTTATATAATGCATGTCTCAGAAGTGAAGGTAGGAGACACTGCATTATGTCAGACATGACCATCAGAAAACATTGTTAAAAAGAACTTTTGGGGTTGTACATTTTAAAAATTCTATCATCCCTGAAGTCCCTTGATTATGGGTAAACTCAAACGGCACACTTGTGTTCAGTCTTCACTTTTATAAGTGATTTTATGGCTTATTTTCAGGCACAGAATCAGCCTATTCCACTCGGACAGTCCTCCATTTTGTTCCATACCTTCGGTCTCGAGGATTTTATAAGCATGAAAGGACCGAATAATTCACTTTTTAACACGATGTAATAGTTCGATGCAGATCATACCCTGGGACTTACAACAAAAACAATTTGCACAACAATAAACGAGGCCAAGAACGAGGCCTAATACTGAAGCAAATGACATCACTCTTGGCTCTTTAGTCTCATGCATTGGCACAATCTATGCTCCATGTCATGATTCTCTGAAAAGCATCAAAGCAGATATGAGAATTGAATTAGCCTCAGCCTTTTCAAGAAAAACATTTTTGTTTGATTTCAAGGCCAGTGCTGCAGAGAATGCAAGCGCATTATCCGAATCCAATACAATGAGAATCTGTCCTAAGTCCAAATCTCGTAGACAGAAACCAAATTTTGGCCGGGGTGCTGCTAGTAACGCTTAAAAAAATATTAAATATCAAGGTGCTATAATCACAAAATATTCACATAAAACACACACACACACACACACTAAACAAACAAGTATGAAAACAATATACAAGAATAAAATTCTCAAAAAGAACAGCAACCTGGAAAGGTAAACGGAGCAGAACACAAACTGCATACCAGCTCATTAACCGGTTTCTGCTCAATTTGTTCACAAGCCATCAACGCATATTTCAGGTTTAGTACATTCAGTTGTGGGTAAATTGTACATGAGGTGTTACCGATATAACGTGTGCTCAGAAAAATGATGCTGATTGTTATTTGTGTCTTATAGGAATATCCTATAATAAGAGTGCAATAATGCATTATTTGAATCCTGATATGAAGTAGATTTGAGTGTAAGATTACATTAGATTCCATCCAGCAATACTACTAGAGTTAGAATGCAATCTTTGCGTCACGCCTGTTGTAGTCGGAGGGTAGAGGCCTTGCCTGGAGGGTTTCTGATGTGTCTGTTGTTTCTGGAAGCAGGAGCGGGGATGCGACTACCTCGGGCCAGCCCTCGAACCTTGGACTCAGAAATGACCATTGTTGTCCTAGCCACACCTGTGCTGACCGTCTTTCCTGAGGGCAAAGAGTAAGATAAATACAAACAACAGAGTACATTAGTTGTTGAGGAACATTATGGGATGCTGCATAGAGTTTAGCCAAAGAAACACCATATGTAATTTGACGAGAACAGTCCATTTCATTGTGGAGGCCACGTGGGGCAGTTTGGATCTATATGTGATTTATGAAGCGATGTGGGGCAGTAGGGGCTTGTATGGGACAGTGTGGTGTTGTTAAGGTCTCACTGAGGTTAAAAGAGATGAATGATCACCTTGTGAGTGTGAGAGAGTGCTCTGCTGTAACGCTCTCCTCCGCGAGTTCTGTTTACAACCCTCCGGTCCCATGAGGTGAGATTTCCAGGCCTGCACACACAAGACATGCACTGTTACATTGCTGTATGAGGAGAATGTGAGCATGTGTGTGAGAGAGAGAGAGACACTGTAAATCTCACTTTAATCATCATGGGTGCTTGTGTAAATAATCTGTACCGATGGTGTTGGTTTCAGACTTGATTTTATACCGGTGTTCTTATATTCCCAAACCTTAGATACACCCTCTCTCTCTCTCATACCCTTTCTCAATAATCAATGGTAAAGTCGAATGGTTTTTGTTTATAATTGGTTATAAAATTTTATAATTTTTTTTATAGAAGTTTTTTGCACTTTTTTCAAAATATGGTATGGTATGAATAATTTTGTTTTTGTTAATTATATTTAACATAATAAGAGTGATTATAAAAATTCATGTTTTTTTGTATTTAGTACTGTCCTGAAAAAGATATTTTACATAAAAGACATGTAGTTTACATGTAGTCCATAAATTTATTTTTATAAAAATGACGCTTGATTCTTAAATCTTTGTTGTCACCCGGATGATCCATGACTGTTTTTTTGTTTTGTTTTGTTTTGTGATGGTTGTTCTTTAGTCCCTTGTTTGTCATAAACACTTAAAAAGCCCAATGTTCTTCAGAAGAATCCTCCAGGTCTTGCAAATTTTTTAGTTTCCCAGCATCTTTTGCATTTTCATTCCTTTTGCGTATGATTTGGAAATATTTTTTATCTTTTGTACACCGAGGACGACTGAGAGACTCAAACATAACTATTGCAAAAGGAGCAAACATTCACTGACGCTCAGAAGGAAACACTATTCTTTAAATGTTGTTCACATGTTCACATCTTCCTGTTCAAAAGTTTTATATAAAGCTTTATATATTGTGTTGTTCTGCTATTTCTGTCATTTCAGATTGAATGAAATTACTTGACCAAATAGGATGAAGTGTTTTTCTAGCCATTGTAAAAGAGTTAGTAATGCACAAAAGAGCTCTTATGAATCAAAGACAACTAATGTATTCCCAGCACCAGTGTTAACTACAACTATTAAAAATGGTTTTCATTAACTGAAATTAAATTGCAATTCATTAAAAGTTTATGGTTCTTGGTTTTATTCATTCCCATGACTTTTCAGGCCTGAAAATGACTATTTACACATTTTAAAGTAAATACATATATGATGATATGCATGATACTTTCAGATTTTGCAGACTGTAAGAACCCTGTGTTTAAAGGGATACTCCACCGTTTATTATTTTTTTTTCAAATTAAAATGTTATTCCCTTAACTAAAACGAGTTGATACATACCTCTCTCGTCTCAGTGTGTGCGCTCAATCGCTCTGGCGCGCGAGACACTTTGATCGCACTTAACTTTGCCCAGTTCTTTCAATAGGGGCCAAGCAGAGAAGCGACCAAACACCTCCATGTTTTCCCGATTTAAATAGAGTTGCACTTTTCTAAGCGTGTAAAGTGGATAACTATAATGTATGGCGGAATACCACAGCAAGTGCTTGGGAGCACTTCAACTCGGTGTAGTATTATCATCACTTGTGAAAAGTCCTCTCCGTTTCCAGAGTGATGATATTACTGCGCCGAGTCCATAGAGTCGAGTCGAAGTGCTCCCAATCACTTGCTGTGCTATTTCGCCATATATTATAGTTATCCACTTTACATGCTTAGAAAAGCGCAACGTTTTATTTTGTGTCACTATTCTTGGTCGAGTTACACTACTCGTGTAACTGTATTTAAATAGGGAAAACGTGGAGATGTTTGGTCGCTTCTCTGCTTGGCCCCTATTGAAAGAACTGAGATTAAGTGTCATTAAGTGTCATTCGGTAAATTGACACTTTTAATGCAAAGTTGATATTGTTTAAAATGTCTTTGTTATGACAACTTGACATTAACCAAGACAAAAATGTCTTGATTATGACAACTTGACATTTAACAAGAAATCATAACCTGTCACAAATATGTCATAACAGGTCTAATTATCAAACTTAAAGAAGTTATTTAGCTTTGCGTTAACATTACATTACCCTGTCATATGTGGTTGATTTTGACTTTGGCTGTCATGACACCGTTAGTAAAGTGGAACACATTGTACTAGTTATAAAGATGTCATTAAGGGTTATTACACTGTCAAATGCTTTAACAACAGTGTCATTAATATTTCCCCTTACCTCAAGTAAGGTTGACAGGTTATGATGACATTTTTTTGTCTTTGTTAATGTCAAGTTGTCATAACAAAGACATTTTAAACAATGTTAACTTTGCATTAAAAGTGTCATAATTTACCAAATGACACTTAATGTCAACAGTCATAAACATTCATAAAGACTCCTTCATGTTCATGACAGGTATTATGTCATGTTTATGACAGTGTCATGTCAGTCTTATGCACACCCCTTCAAATAAAGTGTTACCGTGTGATCTCACCTCCTCTCCCGAGGCGAAGTTTTCATGGCAGAGAGGACAGTGATTACAATTTTCTCCAGAAGCTGGTGCTGACAAAAAACAAAAGAATAAATACATTACAAGGAGCAAAAACTGTTCTTACTTTCCCCCCCAAACAGCACAAAAAAAAAAAAAAAAATGCAGGCTGTCAAAACATACCTTTCACTTCAGTGGAAAGCATTTTTTCTTAAAAAATCCTTGACGTGCCATCTAAAATATTTCTCTCGCTAAGCTGCCAAAAAGATCATATGACGGAAAAACGCATGTTTGTGTTTGACAAGAGAGGAGAACCATCTAGTATTTGATGTGGCGACTGACTCAATAAGGTGGACTGTTTATCACAATATGCAAGGAAAACAACAGATCGTTTTATAAAAAAAAAAAAAAACACTCCAAAATACTGTTCTATGGCCAGTGAGAAATATTTACGGGCATTACATCAATTCACCAGCCCAATGTTAATTTTGGACCCTGGAGACACATTTGTAAAAGAACTGAGTGTGGTTTCTTGATGAGCATGAAGTAAAAACAATGTGCATCCGCACAAAGTACTCACGATTGCAAGCAGGGCTCTGAGCATGCTCAGTTAGCTTATGTCGGGGAAGGGCTTCGCAGCAGAGAGGACACTGGGTGAAATCTGCCCTCCGCTCACACTCTGTCAGCAAGTGTTCTATCAGGCTCGCAATCTCCACTACCTAAAAAACACACTACATTAACACACTCTGAACAGTGAGAGTAGTTCAACCAATAAGAAATGATTGAGTGAGTGTGTACCTGTCTGCACTGAAGGCAGCGCTGCAACATTGGGCAGTGTTTCCAGTAGTGCAGGTCAAGTCCGTCCTCAGTGAATGACGCATCTCTCTCCCCACAAAAAATACACAGACTACACACAAAACAGGACCAGCATCAACTCTGATCCAATCTTTCATTTCTCACTCGCCATGCTATTAAGACTATTTCCCAGCAGTATAAAGACAGACTGATTAAATGAGAGCCCATTAGCATTGCACATTATGCTATCATTTTCCAGATGTCTTGGTGAGATTATAATTGTATTTATAAGAACTATAAAGGACAAAGACTTGACATTTGCAAAGCACTACTAAACAGGAGTCTCATCAATGGATGTTCCACTGACTCGGTTGAGAATCAACAAGTGACAAGAGGTGCTCACTTGTCTAAGTAGTTAGCTGCAGATGATTGGCTGTCTTTCGCATCAGCAGGGACAGACTGGTTTGACTTCTTAACAACTGCTGAAACATAGAGGAACATATTTAACCCTCACTTTCAGTTCAGGGCTGCATTTCTTAAAAGCAATTAAATAGATTTTATTAATTGATCTTTACTAAGACACATCACAAAGACAGTTAGTTACATCATGCACACACATCAGTTTACACACACCTGATTTGTCTGCCTTCTCAGTTTTTTTCTCAGGTAATTTGGAATTGTCCTTTCCTTTCTCCTAAAACACAGATTCACATCTTTAATGCACTTGTGGAGTTACCTTTTTGTATATCAGATGGCCAAATGGGCTCATTGCACTTTTCAGCCAATGAGTCCAAGATGCACAAGCGAACCAGCTAGATTTTTCCAGATACGGAAATGTTAAAGGTGAAGTATGAATTACAAAAATAAAACATATTTTAAAACAACCTTCCAAATACGCCCATTGTGCCTCCCTCAACTCAAATATCACAAATACAGCTCTTAAAGGTGCTTGTGAAGGCATGTCTCAACAGCTAAAATGGGGTACTTTTAATGAAAGGTTAAATATTAGGAATACTTTTAACTGTGTTGCTATGTTTCATGAGAAAGCAATTGAGCAGGCCAACACTGTCTAGAGCGAACACAAGTGACTTGCTTGATAATAAACCCATACAACGTATCTGCACCAGGTGCAAATAAACATTATAAACTGGTAACTTTTGTTTTTCTGTACGAGTGCATGATGATGCTCTATGGTACTGAAGCGTCCACAGTAGCCTGTAGCATCATAATAATGACCCATTCGCTTTAAGTGTGGATATCTGCAGGTCAGAGTAATAGGCATGGCGGTAGGTAGAGATGTGCCGAAAGGTCACAAAGCAGCTGTTGGGTTTGGGGTCTGTTGTAGCATTGTGTATCTTTCAGCATGCCCCTACCTTTCGGCACACCTACTACAACCTGAAGCTATCCCCGTCTCATTCGCTTAGACGTGTTTAATCTAAATGCAATGAATTTTGGCTTGCACTTCTGTAACCCAAGCTGTCTTTTCCCATCTAATGCGTACTAAGCAATGGTTCCACACCAGTTAAACACCCCGTGGCTTCGTCTGCTACAGTAGCCACAGCCAAAACTCTCACTATATATTGAGCTGGACAGAAACTGACATATCTGAGCAGATCGCTCTCAATGTTTTGATGGTGCCTGGAGGGCTCAACATTTAGACATTTGGGGGCGATAAACCCATGAATGGAATACTAATAGTGGTCAATGAACAATGAACTGGGTTAAGAGAATGTATTTTCACATTTGGGAAAAAATCTTACATGCTTCACCTTTAATGACGGGTATAAAAAAAGCCATTTTGTGTGAGAGCATTAAAAACAAAAGAGAAGAGATAGATTAGGCCACCTTTGAGCACTATACCTACACTGATCTCCTTCAGCACTGCAAGCTGCTCCTGTAAACTCCTGATTTCCTCTTTCTCTCTCTCACCATCTTCCAGTTCGGACACTTTTTTTCTCTCCTGAAGTAAAGACAGAGAGAAAGTATTTAAACCGAATGCAATATCCCCACATACAAACATTCCAAGCTTTTAAAAGATAACACTCAAGACACTCTCCAGACAGGAGACAGGTTTTACCTGCATATTTTTGTTGTTTCCGTCTAACTTGGTAAACGAGTCGAAAAGGTTCTTGTAGAGGACATTTTTACGTGTGCTGGTGTCATCAGGTGGAAGATAATTCAAAACCGCTTTACCATGAAGACGGTACATATCCTGGACAACTCTCACAGAGAGTTCACGCACTGAGGCAGCGCTGTGCTCTAATCCACCTGACAGAAACTAACACAACATACATCACACACACAAAAATATATATATTAAGTATAAGAATGTAATTGTAGAATAGATACACCACATTTGAAAAGTTTGGGGCCAGTAAGAATGTTTGTTTGTTTGAAAGAAATTGATTATTCAGAGAGAATGTGTAAAATTGATCATTAAAATACTTTTTACATTGTTACAAAAAAATCTATTTAAATAAATGCAGTTCTTTTTAACTTTATATTCAAATAATCCTAAAAATATATATTAAAGTTTAAAAAAAACAATTAATATTATATTATGTTTTCAACTTTGACAATACTATGATTTTTTTTTTCTTAGAATGATTTCTGAAGGATCATTTATACATTCTGCATTGCCTGCATCACAGGAATAAATGTTATAAAAATAGAAAACTTTTATTTTAAATGGTAATATTTGTAATGTTACTGTTTTTGCTGCATTTTAATAAAATAAATGTAGCTTTGGATAGCATAAAAGATCGTACCTACCCTAAACTTTTGAACGGTAGCGTATGACTAGTGTATGGCAACAAGAAAAAATCAACCAATGTTTAAAATACTGAAAAAAATAAACATACAATATTCCCTAGATATTTGTTACAATATGTGAAGCAAAGGCTGTATATGAACTCCAGTTATTATATTAAAACTATTTGTCTCTCACTTTTCTCTCTCCCCATTTCCATACACAGATCCCATTCATGTGCTCCCAGGCTCTGGATCTCTCATTTTAATTAAAGGAAACTCAATCGCCTCGCTGCTGTGCCCTGAAGCCCATCTCATCTCCCAGGAAACCAGCAAGCAGAAGGCATTTAGCAACCATCCCTACGTGTAACCTACAGCAACCCATTTTGTGGGAGATCACCAAGGAAAACAGCCAAACTAACAGACAGATCCAATAAATATTTAAAAGACATTTGGGAGCTGACTCATTGGCGGTTTTTGAAATAGTATGACTTGTCTTTAGAAAATATAAGCTGCCTTTTTTCTAAACAACAAACAGGTTTGAAACAACAAAGGCCAATAAATGATGAGAATTCAGTTTTTAGGTTAACTACTGCTTCAATATCCAGTCCATAAATCATTTTATAAGGATGCAACAATATTAAAATTCTATGTAAATTTCTAATATGGAAATTTTTATGTCTGTATGCAAACATGTATATGGAGATGTATGTATGTACGCATGGGAATACAGGTGTATACATGTATATGAAAGAATATATGGGTGTATGTATGATGCATCTGGGTATTTATGTATGTACATGTATGTGTGAGTGAGTAGGTATGTGTACGTATACATTTACGTATCTGTTAATTATTACGTATCTGTTAATTATTATTATTGTTGTTGTTTTTTCTTTTTTTATTTATTTATATATTTTTTATTATTATTTTTTTTTCAATTCACTGGGGTGTAGAGGAGGGGAAGGGAAAAAAATACATATACATTGTGTCTACTTTGACATATTAATTGTATCGCAATATGAATAAGCTTGCAATAAAAAACAAAACAAAAAACAAAACAAAAAAAACAAAAACAATTTTAAAATTCTGGCCGATATAAATAAGCTGATAATTATTGTCATGTTATGGCAGGTAACAATAAATGACCAATGTTAAAATTTGACACTATTTTTGCCTTAATAAAAAGAACACTAAAAACTATATTATAATACATGATTGAGATATTATATATATATATACACACACTTTTGTTGATAAATTATATGATATGACCCTTAACCTTCTAACTTTACCATGTGGAGGAATATGAGACTTTAGGCCACCTGGACATATTTCCAAGCCAACACAAAATTAGCAGCCGTTATTTTATTACAACAAAGCCCAACTGGAACACAGAGAGAAACCTCACAGTGCACACTGCAGATCCTTGTGAAATTTCACAGTCTCCATTGCAGTAATGCCACAAGTTTGCACAGCAAATATTCTTTAGGCTGCACAAATCCCGAAATAAAAACAATTAAATAACTTGGAATAGAGAACTAGAGAATAACTGAGTAACTCTGTAATTGAGACCCTGAAAGAAATAAGAAAGAACCAAATGTAACAGATAAACAGCTTTGCAATTCTAACTGCCGGGACAGAGAAAGTGCGCTGGGAAGAATCTCATAAACTATGCCATGGATATGCAACTGGTTGTCAGAACAGCCCTTGTGCGTAACAGACATTACATAGGGTAGAATACACCCACTCTGCTCTACAAAGGCCACTTTGTTTCAGTCTAATGAAACCCTCAATAATCTTAATGATAGCTGTGAGAATGAAATGAACCTTTATATCCTAACAGAAAGCTAAATTTGTGATATTTTGCCCACAAAAACCCAAATATCTTTTTTTTTCATCTTAAGGTTTGCACACGCACCCAACTACAAACATTTATACCACAGCTGGCACCTAAAGCCAGTGGGTGTGTGGTCTCAGACTAGCACAAAGTCGTTCATGTATCATGTGGCCGATAAATCTAGCTAGCCATTTGCAGTTTTTAAGCTACTACTTTAAAGAAGATTTTTTTAAGCTTTAAAACTTGCAGAGGGCCATTGGGTTGACACCCAGTGAGATCATTTCCTCAGAGAGAGGGGAAGTTAGGCCAGTACCCGCATGACGTTGTCGAGGGTGAAGCCAGAATTCTTGGTGCCCAGCTGTTCTAGAAGCTTCTCCAATAGTTCCAGTCTGCTCAGCGCCAGTCTAGCGGGTATACTGCTCTGCATGGGCTTGACAAGCTCCAAAGGAACCATCTGCAGAGCTCTCACCTCTTTAAATAAAGCCATTTCCTGAAAACACAACAACATTGAAGTTACAGAACACAAACTCTTTCTTACACATTTATAAATCCTCAAAAAGTTATAGCAATAAAAGCCAGTCTGCTTATTGTAAAAAGAATAGTTCACACACATACATACATTATATATATATATATATATATATATAAAATATATATATATATATATATATATATATATATATATATTTCAGATTTATTTAATTTGTATAATGTTGAATTCTGCTAAACTGTGTCACATAAGCACACCCACACAGAATGCTTGGAATGTCACATCAGACACACTAAAAAGAAAATGTTTAATTTTTCAAGACATTACCTGATATGTACTGTATATATATATATATAGCAAAGAGACACTGCAATAAAAATGTGTTATAGAAGATGGTCAAGTTTGACATTAAGAATGTTAAGGACATTTTAAGAACTTAAATAATAAGTGAATATGATTTGACAATGTTGGATTGTATGATTTATAACATTCTGAAGCACTGGTGTCAGAGTTTTAAAAGATTCATTAAAAGGTGTGGCCTTTGACATACTTTTTCCACCATTCAGAAGCATAAGTCACAAATGTCTTTTTATATTGTGCCAAAGTACAATGAAGTTTCCCCACACAATGCTGACAGAGACATAACCTGTTCATCAACAAACAACACAAATCAGTGTCAGTAAGTTACACAAGAAAACTAAATGTCCCCAATCCTTCAGATAGAACATGATGACTGTGACAAGATAAAGTAGTTCAGGATTGCCTCACATGATCTATACCTGAACTTTTTTTAATCAGACAAAATCGAAAATCTTTTAAAGTAAATTAACAACAATGATGAAAGGGAACCATAATTTACAACTTTTTGTGTAACTTTTTCCCATCCCAGACAGCATTTTTTTGTATGATAATTTCAGACGTGCCACGAAATGCAATATTTCAATATTTTTGTTCCATTTTACACAAATTAAAATTCAAATGCACAACTATACCTGATGTGGTAGAAAACCCGACTTAAGTTTACCTGGGGCGTCTCTAGTCGACACACAAGCGCCTACAGTCGACACTTAATGAATGAACGAGGCATTTATATAGCGCTTTCATATGTAATACTGTACACCCAAAGTGCTTTACAATCATATCAGGGGTTCTCTCCTCAAACAACAACACTGTGCAGCTTCCACTTGGATGATGTGAAGGCAGCCACAGAACAATGGCGCCAATGCTCTCACCACACACCAGCTATGAGGAGAGAGAGTGATAGAGCCAATTCAGTGGATAGGGATTATTTGGAGGCCCTGATTGGCAAGGGCCAATGGGTGGAATGTGGCCAGGACACCGGGGTTACACCCCTATACTTTTACGAGAAGTACCATAGGATTTTTAATTACCAAAGAGAGTCAGGGCCTTGATTAATGTCTCATCCGAAGGACTGTGCTCTAATATGTATACTCAAGCACTGTGTCTACAGTCGACAAATGAGCTGGCTTCGAGTCAGACGTCTCACCCCTTTTTACACTAGTACTCGGGAACAAGATCTCTAGTGTTCTATAACCTGCTGCGCAGAATTTACTAGACAAACTCCAGAAAATGCCTTTCAATATCCTTTAATCATGGCTGGAGGATCTCAGACAAATTTCAGGAAGAATCCCAAAAAGCAAAAAGAATACAACAGTTTTTATAAAATAGGAGCATGGCAAAGGTGACATGTGATTCATTACATAATTTCCCTACAATATGATTGGCTCCTCATATGTATAATCCAGCGAGCAAACCCTTCTGTTACTAGGCAGAAGCAAACTTGACTTCTTGATTACTCAAACTCATGAGTTTATAAATCTAGATATCTGCCTAGTTTCATTTCTCCTCTTGTTATATACGAAATTGATTCAGACACACGCTGACTGACTTTGACCAAGGTTTCAAAAGCATAATAATTGTTAATCCTGCAAGAAGAATAAATGTCTGATATGATGATTAGTTAAATAGTCTTTCACACTGTCAACTTATACTATAGAATGAGGAAGACCGTAAAGATAATAAACTTGGACGGAAAGCCATAAAACTATCTTTAAGAATTTTTGAGACGTTTTGTGGCCAGACCGGTTTATACAAATGTATCAGATAAAAATGGTAGATTGAAATGTGGAAATCTCACAGCAGGGTTATGGTAAAAGACAAGATCTCCAGTCGCGCCAATAGAAAACCAATAGAAAATACATTTATTAAATTACAGTTTACAGGTGAGTTCATTTTACAAGGCAACCAGTGTATGGCATTCCTTTAGACAGTATCCACTCTTACTCATCGGTGAAGATTCTTCCAGTGGAATTTTACCTTTCAACTGACACCCAATGACCTGAATAGCTGCAGGAGTCACTTCCTTACAGAATACAAATAAAGTATTTTAAAAGTCTGCACTGACCCGTATGAAGGTGACAGCAAGTGTTCTGAGTCTCAGGGTTGAGTCTCCGGTCCTAAAGAGCAGATTATTCCAAGTCTGTTCCACACAGTGACTGATCTCAGATTTGCCAAGCTGATGGTTGGGAATAAACTCACTCAGAATCATTCGAAGCAGATTTATAGATGTAAGAAATACCTAAAATGCAACACAAACAGACAGTTGTTGTTACTTTACATAATAATTCACATGAAGGTTTTATTTTCAATATTGTCAAATTTCATATTATATTAATAATTTATTTAATCAGGTTTTCCATTTATTTAAAAAAAAAAATTTACTTCCCATGCCAGAGTTTAAGTGCCAATTTTAGAGCCACCTGGAACCATTTTCCCTCAGAATTTCAGTCAAGGTGTAAATACACACAGAAGCCGTGTGAGAAACCGCCTGAGACCTTTACAACAACACATGGTGCAGGGTAGCATCAACAGGTCAGCTAAAGCACACAGTTAAATGCTGTGCTGTGTTAGTTTAACTAAATAACCACGGGAAGAGGGTCACTGGAATGTGTCCAAAAGCAGGCACTTGTTCAGACTCTCAGTACAACCATTTAAAACTGTTTAGAGTGAAACCCCTAAAGGCCACGGATTTTACTGTGAGTGATTCATTCAAGGACTGACAGGAGGTAAAACACAGCTGTCACCTCAAAACCATAAACATGCATGCTTTGAGAATGCACAAGGCCTAGAGAGTGAACTTTTGCATGCAAGAAAAGCTAAAGGCTCATCAACTCAATGCAATTTACTCACGCCAAATTGCTCAAACCCCTTTAATGATCATTTAGCCTGAGGTCAGTAAAATAGGAAAACTACATTTTTAAAACAGCCTCATATACTGGATGCAAAACAATTGAATAATAAGATTATGGTTTTGTGACTATGGCATTTAAATGTTTTGTCCATGCATATTTATTGAAAACAGTTATAAAATCATGATTGTTATCCTCATATTTTCATTTTGATTGCTTAAATGTAAAGAATATTTTGAATTTACCACTGGTGAATTTACCAGTTATTTTAAAAGTTATTTTTCTAAGGCACATGACTGATGACAGATATTATCTTTGGTAGACGGTCTATGTTTTTCAATTTATTCAATCCTTTCCCTTGTATCAGAAACGGTCAGATTGTCAATTTAAACAATTGTTATAGTTTCTAATAAAGTTATAGCTAAAACTATAACTATAAAGTTATAGCTAAAACTATAACTATAACGCACAGGGCTGCGTTTACTGGCACAGAAAAAAACAACAACAAAAAAACAACCTTTTACTCACATCTGACACAGTACGAAATTTGCTGAAGGCCTACACGTGTACACAAAAATCCGCAAGAAATTCAATTTTTTCGCATCCGATTTGAGCCACTTCCAAATGTGGTTTTAAATCAGATACATATCCGATATCTGGGTAAACACATATCCGATTCCCCTTTGGATTCCATCTACCACAAGGCGATGACGTGTATTCACAGATAGCTTTTTAATGTTGTATTATGTGGCAGACGTGCCTGTATCCGCTCGCTCACAGTTTTTTATTAAGATGGGAACTTTATATTTATCTTTTTTTAAAGAAAAAAAATTGCGCAAACACAGCTGGTTTTCAACCTATATATATATATGAAGTCACTTGGACTATTTTAACGATGTATTTAATAACTCCGAAGGTCATTCCGAAGATGAACGAAGGTCTTACAGGGTTGGAACAACATGAGGGTGAGTAAATACTGACAGAATGTTCATTTTTGGGTGAACTAACCCTTTAAGACTTGCAGTGTAAATGCAGCCCAATTCATTCACACATTTAGCGATTTTATTTTGAGTGATCATTTTGGCCATAGTTAACAGAAATCACTATTAGAATTTAGAGTTTGTAAAAATATAAATTGCAAGATTAATTTTTAAAGTAAACAATTTTTTCAGGCAGGTGCAGGTAACGATTGTCCAAGTTCCAATGGAAAAAAGCAGACGATGCCTCTTATTAGCCTGTTTAACTAAGGAAATCGCATTCCTATAGCCGCCATATCGAGCATTACAATTACAAGTAAATCTCCAATTCATTCATCAACAAGTGTTCCAACTCCTCCTGCTCATACCCAACGTTAGCAGAAAATCAGCTCTATAGCAGTTTACTCTTGGGAGAGACAAGCCAGGCTTTATACATTTGTTGCCTGTATCACTTCTACAGATAATCCACAATACTAGACAGAACACGACACCTGCTAAACAGTCACGACTATCAGTCATGCTGATGGTGCCGTTCTGTCTTTGGCCTGAAATGAGACTGAAAAGAAGGGAACATGAGAGAAATTAGAAAGAGAGGGTGAGAGAAAGACGAGAGAAGGAGAGGCTGAGAAACAAAATAAGAGGGCGATAAAATCAGAGAAAAGGGTAAAATAAAGATAAGAGAGAGAGCTCTCATACAGATGACACTTTATCTGTGAGTGCTTTCTTGCAGAGGAACACAGCTGCTCTCATCATGCTCCGTAGTTCTGCTTTTGGGGTACCGGGTGGAACCTCCATCAGTTTCTTGTAGACTGTCAGCAAAGCATCCTCCCTGTGAGACCACATCTTTGAATAGGACGCTGCCACCTAAGAAGACAAGACAACGAAAGAAAAAAAAATGAGGATCACATTCCAGAAACAGTTCACAAATGGAAAACACCAGCTGGCTCTTTGACCTTTGTCGTATGGAGTTTGGCCAGTGCTGTGAGACTGTAAAGAAACAGTAATAGATGGACATCTCAGTGTGATGTTAAATACTTCAATGGATAATTTTCCCAGCCAAATTTGCTTGATCTCATTTTATTCCAAACCAACTTGACAGATTGAGAATTTGATTAGTACAATTTGCGAATTAATCATTTAGACCTGCTTTGTAAAAAAAAAACTGATAAAAATCAACCTATTGGAACCTGTACATGTGCGTCTTACCAGACAGTCTCCATAGATCTCGATGGGCAGACTGGCCTCTCTCTGAGCTTTCTCTGTGAGCGGTTCTGGTTGTCCTGAGGATTCAGGGCTACGTGGGGAGCTTGTGTCAGTCAGAGGGGGCATCTTGTCGAGCTCTTTGACTGGTTGATCACTCAACCTCTTCCTAAAAACAGGTAAAGGCCTCTCATCATAAGGAAGGGAGCTGATCTGTGAAAACACACGAACATGCTCATTATATTTCATATACAGTGGGGTCTTAAAGTCCCCATAGAAAATATTTATTGAATTCAAACATTGCCAGCATTATTTGCTATTAAAGGGTTAGTTCACCCAAAAATTAAAATTAATGTAAGCCATGATTTACTCACCCTCAAGTCCTCCTAGGTGTACATGACATTCTTCTTTCAGATGAATACAATCAGAGTTACAATAAAAAATGTCCTGGCTCGTCCAAGTTTTATAATGGGAGTGAATGGCTGAATAAAAATTGAAGCCTGAAAAAGTGCATCCATCCATGACTAAAAAAAAAAATACTCCACACAACTGAAGCGAAGCCATGGGTTTTTTTAAGAAAAATACCCATTTGTAACTTTATAATCTAAAATAAATAGCTTCCGGCAGACGACTGCATACTATGCAAGTCGATTTTCGCCTCAAGAGTAACCCGTGACACAAGTATGATGTAGGAGATTCGTAAGCTTGGACGCCTCTCATGGTTTAAACAAATAGGGCTGTGCTACAAACTGACGCTCCCCTTCTGTTATATAGAAATCCTCCAACATTTCTCCAACACATATGGCTTCACAAGGCCTTTATTGATCCCCTAGAGCCGTATGGATTTTATAATGGATGGATGCCCTTTTTTGGGCTTATCCAGCCATTCACTCTCATTCTAAAGCTTGTAGGAGACAAGACATTTTGTTAATATAACTCTGATTGTATTCATCTGAAAGAAAAATATCATGTACACCTAGGGTGGCTTCAGGGTGCGTAAATCATGGGCTACTTTTCAATTTTTGGGTGAACTAACCTTTAAAATCAGGAAAAATAATTGGAAAAAAAATAACTAAAATGACCAAAAATAACTAAAACGCTAAAAATATTTGTGTACTTTCTTTTGTGATAAGCATAAATATAATACTTTTTTTCTGTGATGTAAAGACCTTGAGGGTTTTCTTTACACTTGAAAAACAGATGCACCTGTCATCCATGTACACCGGTCACGATTGTAAATGTAACTCGCATTATTTGCCATCACAAACTGTGTTCTCATCTTACAAGTTATTTCAAAGCTAATTCACATAATGACCTCCAGAAAAAAATGTAAGCAAAAGTGACTTAGTCCAGCTTGAGGTCATGTAGTGATAAAGGTGCACTAACAAAAGGCTTTTCAACAAAACAAAAGAAATTTTCCCATTCAACTGCGCTACTTTTCCATTGTTATTCAATGTAAACACCTACTATATGTGTCTTTAACCATTGCGTATTTTGCAGCGTTCTAAAAATGCGGTTCAAGTTAAAAGTTCAACTTTTTTAAAAATGCGCCTCTAGACCTCGTTCCACTGAAAAAAAAAAAAAACGTTTTATGTGAACCATCTCTTAGTCAGCTGACTTTACAAATAATCACATAAACCCTTGATAATGTTTCTGAAAGAACTCACTTATGCTCACCAAGGCTGCATTTATTTGATCAAAAATACACTAAAAAACAGTAATATTATTAACTAATATTACATTTAAAATATCTGTTTTCTGTTGTAATAAAATTTAAAATGCAATTAAATTTTTGAGATTGCAAAGCTGTCACATGATCCTTATTATGTGCTCAATGAATGAACATTTATTTATCAATGTTCAGAACAGTTGTGCAGCTTAAGATGTTTGTGGAAACCTATACATAATACATTCAGCAAAGAAATCTTCTGTAACATTATAAATGTCTGTTTTGTCACTTTTCAATTTAATGCATCCTTGCAAAAACAAAAGAACATTAAACAGTCATTTTTTGGTTAAAATATTTCTTCCAGCTTTCTGTTAACACACCCACATATATTTCGAATTCTGGCAGGGTTAGGGACAGTTCTACGCTAGTAGCACAGAAATTACACACTTCACCGTTTACCCCTTTAATTAAATGTTGAAACGTAAAACTCTCTAGCAAACGCAAATCCCTGACAAGCATGTTAAGCCACACACATGCTCAGATAATAAATCTACAAAAGAGCCTTGTGTCATGGAAGATTGAGCTAGACAATGGCACTGGTGAAAAGGAGCTATACTAGTAGTAAGAAAGAGAGGCAGCATTTCACTAATGCAGGAAGTACCCATAAAACTAGTATTTGTGGAAAGATATATTAATGAATGAAGAAAAAACAGAAAGTGGACATATAAGTAATGCATTAGAGCAAGCAAGCAGATGAGTCTTTCATTTTTTCTTATGGCTGTTTTATCAGTGTACATCAAGACTTACATCAATTTTGGAAGCGTGAGGAGGAGTGAGGGGTGTTGGGGCGACTGAATGTTTGGGGCTGACTGGTTTTGTGTGCTGCTCATTTGTCTCCTTCACATGTTGTTCCTGTCTCCTCTTCGTGGGTGAGTCCACGGGTTGAGGCGTGTGTTTCTGCGTGCCAGCACGTGGAGAGTTGGAAAGTTCAGAAATTCTATGGATCTGAAACAACAACAAAAATCCCATTTTAATTATTTACATTTTGGTCAATATTCAAGCAACTTATCAAAAGAAAAAAAAAAGACAAATATGTCCGAAATAAATAAAACACCTCTTTCAGACGTTGAAAAATCAAAACAAGCCATCACACAGAACAGATGGGTCTGTCGGAATACAGAAACGGAAGTCACACACAAACACAATGCTCTATGACTTTCTAAGTCATTCATTGTCTGCTGTATAAGTATGTCTCCTGGCCTCAGACGAGTAACAAGCAAGCACCCGATATCAGGAGAACCAGCACAATTGCTACTGAGCTGGGAAACTGCCATATCAGAGAACTAATCTCACTGGAGCTGGGGACCTCACAACACAAGAGTTGTATTATTCATGTATTCAATGCAGAAAAAGAAATTAAGAGAGACACACAGGAATATGGATGGAGCAAAGTCATTAATTGAATTCTGAGAAGTGTAATGGATGGATGAAAGGACATACACTTCCATTCAAAAAGTTTAGGGTCATAAATTTGTTTTTGAAAGTAGTCTTTTATGCTCCGTCACCGAATTTGTGTTTATTTAATCAAATATAGAGTGAAACAGTAAAATTGGGAAATATTAATACAATTTAAAATAACTGTTTCAGTTTTAATGTATTCCATAATGTAAAGCTGAATTTACAGCAGTACAGTCTTCACTGTCACATGATTCTTTAGAAATCATTCTAATATGCTAATCTGATTCTCATTAAATATACTGAAATATTTCTTATTATTAATGTTGATGCTGAATAATATTTTTGTTGAAACCATGATACATTTTTCAAGGGTGATTCTTTGATGAATTAAAAATGTTCAAAATATATATATTTTTTTTGTAAAATGTTAAATGTCTTTACTTACACTTTTGATCAATTTAGTACATCCTAGCTGAATTAAAGAATTAAATTTCTTACTTAAAAACTTACTGACTCCAAACTTTTGAACAATATTGTATATGTGATTGGATGGAAGAATGGATGGATGTTTACTTGACTGATGTCCAGCAGACAGTGGAGCTCCAGATGCTTGTAGACTGTAAGCCTGTAAGCATCCATTTGTTCCTTTTTCTGCTTGGCTATGTCATATTCCTCTCGTTCTATGGCACTGTGTTTCTCAACATCATATCGGCCCAAACGTTCACCCACCTAAACAGAAAAAGAGATACAAAAATACACTAAATACACTTTTAGAGTTAAACACTAAAAGGAGAAACCCCTTTTAATTTGCCCAGTAATTACTGTCAAGCTACAATTAACATGTGGCTAAATAAGTGCAACACCCTGCTCTCCTGAAATATATTTCAACTCTCTCAACTCAAGGTTCACATCTCCAGTGTGTAACATATCATAAGTAAAATACATGTGCAAGACATGTCAGACAAAGAAGGTAATTCTAATAACCTTTTGCAGGTCTGCAATAGCTTGTTTAAGCTTTTTGGCCAGATCAAATCTTTCCTCCCGAACCATGTCCTGTTTTTTCTGGTCCAGCAGCCGAATGATATGTGCCACCTCAGGGTCCTGATACATGTCAAACGCCAAGTCATCAAGGGGTGAGATAGATTCACATTTGTAACTCGAGAGCCTGCAAGATAATAAGAGTAAGCCCAAGAAAAATACAGAGGACTGCATGCACAAATTTAATGTAATGCAATATAACTTGAAACTTCAATTTTTACCCGGTATATGTGCCATCCAGGGCTGAGCTGTGTTGGCTGTTGTTTAGATATTGATCAATCAGCTGATCTCTGCTTAGCTGGGACAAAAACAAGAAACAGAGAAAGAAAAAAAAATTATTATTAAAAACAAATACCCTATCTTTCAAAAGTTTGGGGTCAGTAAGACTTTTTTTTTACAGAAATTAATACTTTTATTCAGCAATATTGCATATTGATCAAAAGTGACACTAGAGACTTTTACATTGTTACAAACAATTTCTATTTAAAAAAAAAACTGTTTTTTTAACTTTATATTCATAAAAAATGTAGAATGGTTTCCACTAAATATTAGCAGTTCACAACTGATTTAACATTTATAGTAAGAAATGTTCCCTGAGCATAAATCAGAATTTTCTGAACACAGGAGAAATGGCTTCTCAAAATACAGCTTTGCCATCACATGATTAAAAAATACATAAAACTTTATAATATATTAAACTTGAAAAAAAAAAGTAATTTAAAGTTTTAATTTCACAATAGAACTGTTATTGATCAAACAAATGCAGCCTTGGTGAGCATAAGAGACTTCCTTTTTTTAATGAAATGATGTACATTTTACTTATACAAGTAAATTCTGAATTTAATAACATCACATCCTGTGATCCATGCAATGTCTTTGAACCATTATTATCTTTCCAACAAAGGTTAAAAATCTTGATTTCTGCCTGTGAACCAAAACATATTATCATCAGAGTCCTGGATAACACAATAAGACTCCAGCCCGGACAGAGAGAGAGAGAGAGGGAGAGGGATTAGAGATTAACAATGCAGAGATTGTTAGCAAGGTGGGAGAGGACGGAAGAGAGAGGAAGTCGTAGAGGAAAGGGGGGGACAAGGTGAGAGTAAGAGGAGAAAGAGAGCATGAGAAAGAAAGAAGGGGGAGCAGGAGTGAGTGAATAGGAGATGGGGGAGGGCTAAGAATCACAGTGATGTAGATATATTGATGAGTGATCTGATTTGAAGCTCTGCTTATGGAGCTCAGACTCATATTACACAGATTCACATTCCAACACTGAGCACAAACCTTTAGACCTGCTCAAGAACCACAACACACATACAGAAATGCTTAATGTGTGCTATTGATGTAAGACTGTTTAAATGTGAAATTAATATTTAACCCTCAAGTGCCTAAAAAAACTGAAGTTTACAAGTATTAATTAAGATGAATGCAGATCCATTAGTGGTAGGTATGAGGTAATGAAGCTCTTTCAATTCACAGGGTAAAATCTAAATTTAATTCACTGGAATCCAAACCGGAATGACAGCAAATGGTTTACAATTGCAAATTGTTTAGTTAAAGGGATAATTCACCCAAAAAATGAAAATTATGTCATCATTTACTCACCCTCAAGTTGTCCTAAACCTGTATGAATTTCTTTCTTCTGCTGAACACAAAAGAAGAACATGGGTAACCGAACAGTTGATGGATCGCATTGACTTCCACAGTATGGAGGGGGAAAAAAACACTATGGAAGTAAATGGGGACCAAAAACTGTATGTTACTGACATTCTTTAAAATATCTTATTTTGTCTTCAGCAGAAGAATGTATGAATTTATACTGTCAACATAATTAATACCATGAACAAAACATAATATATTTTTGCTAGCATTGGCAAGCCATGTCAACGCCCAGTGCTTAATTTGTAAATTGGGAGGTCCCGGAGCACAGACGTGGATCCGGCGACTCAAAACGGGGGTTGGAGGTAACGGAACAAAAAAAAAAAGCTACGTAGCTTCTCTGACTAAAACAAAACCTAACAACGCTGTGTGTATCAGGGAAATGTTTATTTTAATTTCAGAACATGCACTACGTGGGTGCAAAATGTAAAAAAAAAAAAAAAAAACGTTTTTTACAAGCAGCAAGGGGGTCATACACCAGACAAGAAGCGCCGTGTTGCGTCTAGGACAACTCAGAACAATTTTCATACATAAAATCAAAATATAAATGAAAATCAAAAGCACAGTCAATCTATTGTTTAGGCTTATGATTAGGCAGGATGATTTTCATACCAATTTGAAGCAAAAACTCGACAATATCCATTAGTCAAAAGTAATGTGGACAGGACACAGTGTTTTGTGGCCTTATTTCAGAAACTTTCATTTTTAGTTTTTTCAATAACAATGCATAAACAATATTCTCTCAAAAATACATACCTGTGCATGTCAAAACACCTCAAGGACCCTCAAAAAAGACCCCAGAGTGTTAAAATATAATATAAAAATTCAATACAAATTTCTATAGGTGACATTTAACATTGATTATTTGACATTATTAATGTTTCTGGAAATACTCTGTGAGTAAATTAACATTTCGTACTATTTAAATTCTACTTCCTCAAATTAAAGTCTAAATCAAATTCAGGAGCTAAACTAGAATTCAAACGTATTCTTGATTGAGTTCTGAATGATGAGCTACACTGATCCAAATGCTTAGCCAAACATTAAGGATTCATTCACAACATTTGCCTCTGATGAATGAAGCCACAGTTTAGAAAACAGAAAAAAAAGAATCAAGCCTATGCTAAATTTGTTTGGCTGTGCAGTCAAATGAGGAAAAGTATCTAAAAAACAGTGGGAAGCTGGGAAGCATGGAAAGTGGGAACGTCCCCCTGAGACATCAAATAAACGATTAACAGTAATCCATCGCCACCTGGGGGATGTGAAGAGAACAATTCCATAAACAAACAGTTACTTACTGCTGTTCCGATGTCATTTATATCCACAGGGTCACCCAATATATTTAAAGCCACCAATGCAACCTAGAATTTGGAAAAACATATGACATTACAATGACATAATTACAATAAACAAATCTACCCTAATGTTCCATGTGAATCTGTATGTACCTGATTGTAGTTGTTGTATTGATTAACATGGTTTCTGTGAAAGGTGAGCTTCAAGTAAGATCCAACAGCATCAACATGAACTGACTTCAGCTCTCTGGCTTTGAAACCAGTCTTCTCATTGTCAGACAGAGAAACATACCTGAACAACACAGCACATTTAATACAGTCTTATTGATCACATTATCCGTTGATAGTGACCAGAACATGTTTAAATCTTTCCACACCCCAATCTATGGAGACTATTAGCCTGCTGATGCGAGCTGGACTCTGTTAGTCTATCTCCAATGTGGAACTCAATCTTGGACGGGACCAGGTACTGATGGGCCAGTAGCTGGAGTTTCCTTATGCGACATCTTTCAACCAACTCCAGAATGATTTCCTGAGGGTATGGACAGAACCTACACACAATAATTACAATTAAATATTTTTTAAAGAGCATTTCAGAACTGTAATCTTTGGTAATAGCAACTATAAACAGCTAATAAAGCGATTATTATCAGTTCTAATCTATCGTCTTTGATTCTAACCTAAACTAAAATAGATGCAAATATAAATAATAAAAATCCTTACAATTACAATAGGTTTTCAGCACTTCGTGTTTGAACACCTAAATACATCCCTACACAACTAATACAAAATACATTAACCTAGTGGATCTCCAGCCAGTGATGGTGGGTGCGTGGACCATCAGCTTTTTGGCACTGTAGTTTCCTTCATGACCAGACCAGCTGATCACAGTGAAGCCTATCTTATGAGGCATCCCGTTCCTGAGATCTAATGGGGATATGAACACAACATGTTGTTTAATATCACAAAGCACTCCTGACACATTGACATAACACCAAGCACTCTAACTAAGGATATAAACAAACAGTAATTTGGCACAATTCCTTTACATTGGAGGAATGAGTTTTTTGATGTATTGATGTATCATTTTGATGTATGCCCTGCTGAAAAATGGGAAACGGGAGTGCTTCCAGCTTCCCATTTTTCATACACCAGCGGTAGTGCCAATGGACCAGCTAGACCAGCACTACACCAGCTCTAACCAGCATAATCCAGCCTGGACCAACATGGCATTTTCTGCTGGTTTATGCTGGATTTTTGACCAGGGAGCTCAGAGTAACTAATTATCTCTAGAGTCTAACTGTCTTTTGGCTGAGAAAAGAACTACACAAAGATAACATTTATCAAATGAACTATTAATTAGACACTAACAATGAAATATATATCTATGTTAACGCATTTGTAGCTAGAAAATACTACGTTCCCTCACTGGTAAATGCCTGTTGTAACACTGTAAAATAAGTGGTCTACACTTAAATATTGCATATGTTTTTAGACTTTGCTGAATGTTATGAAGGACCTTAATCATAAGTTAACTGATTGTTATGTAAAGTATTTAACGTTAGCGTTAGCGTGCAATCTAGCTAACGTTAATCAAACAGTAACGTTAACATTACGGTTACAACACTTCCAAAACAGCAACACGGATCTTTATCACAAACCACACGTTAACCACATAGAGCTCAGAATAATTCATTCATAGGGCACTCTAAATATGTACTATTTGACAGAAGACATTTTAAAGTGGTTTACCCAAATATAGCAGTTGCCTACGTTCATCTCCATAACCACCGTTTGACAACTGAGACCTGTGCGCATGCGCGAGTGTTTTTTCGTTCTTGAATTAATCTGGTTATTCTGAATGAATCTTTTAGGTGAACGAATCGCTCACCATAGTGACGCTGGTTCAGTTCGATGTACAGTACTTTTGTTAACTGAGTTCTACCCTTTTTGCAGTACGTATATCCCATTGATTATTTATTGTGTTAACATCATAGACTGTAAAAAACAACACAAAAGCCCAACCCAACACGAACACATACAGAAACAAAAAAAATCCACTTCGCCACCTACTGGTGTATGACGTAACATGAAAAGTCAGTGAACAAATCTTTTACATGAACAGATTCAAAAGATTCGAGTCACTAGGATGAATCAAAACTCCAGGCTCGTGCAGAACGGGATGTTGTTACTTGTAGTTCTTATAGAATGAGTCTAGAAGGAGGTCTATTATGTTAAAACAGCCTGTAAGATGTAACTATAAAACATATGTAATATGAGCATTTCCATTTAAAAAAAATCCAATACTTATAACTTTAAAAGAAAATGTATGAAAAACTGACACGTAGATGAGCGCTTCCGGGTTACATTCACGTTCCGGGTTACGTTGAACAGCATGGCTGAAGAAAACAGCTCTTTGGCTATTTGGCCAGAAATAGAAAAAGCAGAAAAGGAGAACAGAAGAGAGCTGGTGCTTCAAGGTTCAGCGGTTGACAAAAAGATCCAGGACAGCTGCGGACTTCACCCGCGACTTTACTCCCTCTCGCTCCTGAACTACCTGGAGATCAGTCAATGTCCCAGTTTACATGAGATCCACGAGAACATCAGCCATCTGTCTCATCTACAGAGTCTGATTCTCTGCAGGAACAAGCTTACTTCAGTCCCAAAAAGCATCGGTGATCTGAAGGCGATCAAAGTCCTGGATTTGTCTGTTAACCAGCTGCAGGCTCTGCCCGAGGAGATCTGTGCACTGAGCGAGCTCAACACTTTAAATGTCAGCTGCAATAGCATCACTGCTCTGCCGGATGGTCTGAGCAAGTGTGTGAAGCTCGCCAGCATCAATGTGTCCAAAAATGCTCTCTCTCGGCTCCCAGAAGACTTATGGTGCTCCAACCTGGAGCTCCTCAGCAGTATTATTGCATCAGAAAACGCCATAGAGGAGCTGAGCAGGGACGTTCATAAGTTGGCTGCACTGAAGGTGTGTTTCATTGATTGGAGAAATGCACTCGAAAATGAGACTGTCTTTGAGTTGAATATGTAAATGGTTTAATAAATACAAGTTGTAATCAGTTGTGGACACAACTTATAAAACACAACTTCCTATTTGTATTATCATGTATGTAAGTTAAGCAATAAGGTACGAGATGCTGTGCTGTAACGTGAAAAATAACGGCTGAAGGGCGTTGAGGCACGACGCGAAGCGAGATATGAATAAAATAAAAATATTAAAGTAGAAAAAAGATATTAGTGCAACTTTTATGAAGTAAAATCACTGAAAGTCTTCCTTATAATAGAAATAAATGTGTAATATGCATGAAAGCTCAAATAAAAACTACAGGAACTGCAGTGTTGCCCAGTGATAAATATGATCGTGTTTTATCATGAATAAAGCACAGCTATTGACCAATCAGAATCAAGGATTGGAGCTAACCGTTTTATGATTATTTTTATGGAAACAATTTAATATATTTTTTACCATTTTTATGCTGATAAAGCCCACTAATTTGTAATGTTTTTTTTACACATTAAATTTTGAAAATAATGTTAAATGTTGATAATAGGCCTACAATTTGTGTGTAATATAGTGTTCAGTAAATATAAATAATCAATATTGTAGGTGGTGTATAATGTACTTAAAATATTATATTTAACTCTTTCTCTGATAATATGCTAATAATGGATAATGTGTAAACAGAAGCATTCAACTTTTGGTCTCAAACTTTTAGACCTTTTAAATATAAATAAAAGTAATCAATTTATTTTTAATAATTTGTTGGGTTTTTTTAATAAGTAATCAGTTTTGTGGGGTTTTCCCCAAAAAAATAATTGTAAAGATTTTAGGTGGTGTATTATATACTCGGTTAAAAAAAAATCTGATAAAATGTATTGTTGTTTTTTTAGAAATGTTTTGGGGATTTTATTTATACAAAATAGAATTATAATTTGTAACTCATTTAAATTTTGAAGATGCAAACATTTCACTCGTGGTCTCTGGAATATTTGGGATATACTGTATATTAATACACATTAATATTATTAAAAATGCCAGGGTTGAATGTCTTCATCATCTTATCGTTTATACCACTTTCTCCCATCTCAGGTTTTGGATCTCTCTAGCAACAAGCTCCAAGAGCTTCCGTTTGAGTTGGCTGACTGCACCAAGCTGAAAGAGACCAACTTTAAAGGGAACAAGCTGAAGGACAAGAGGCTTGAGAAGATGGTGAATGGTTGCCAAACCAAGTCAGTCCTAGACTACCTGAGGGCAGGAGGGAGGGGGAAAGGCAAAGGCAAGCAGCAGGATGGAGAGATGGGCGAGAAGGCCGACGCTGGCCGTAACGTCTCCAAGAAGAAAAGCGCTGCAAAGCAGAAAGGCAAAAAAGAGGCAGAGGAAGTGGATGAGCTTAATCGGATGGTTGTGAGAGTTCTTCACGTATCCGAAGTGCCCACAGCTGTTACGGTGAAAGTTTCCGCAGCCGTTAAGGATGTCCGGCCATACATAGTGTGCTGTATTGTGAAAGGCATGAACCTCAGACAAGGAAATTCACTCAAGCGATTTTTAGTTGCTCAGGTGACACAAGTTCAAACAAATATCTCAGCCATCAAACGTATTATATTCTCTCTGTCTTGTTTGTTTCTGATTCCTTTTATATAAGCTTCTATAAATATGAATGTATTACCATCCTGTCTGCAGACCAAACTTCATGATGAGATTTGTGCCAAAAGGACAACGGCAACCATTGCAACCCATGACCTGAGCTTACTAAAGGCTCCTCTGATGTATGATGCCAGGTCACCAGATACACTGAAGGTACCTAAGGCATTTTATCACTCTGTGTGAAATCTTTTTTTTTTTTTTATACCTCATATTAGAATAAATCTTTAATTCAACACAATTAAACATTCATGATCTTACATGTCTCTCTAGTTTGTTGCGTAACTCGTCAATCAGAGCATCTCCACTAGTTGCATAACAGTCAAACAATGAAGGAACAATGAATATTTGATAACCGTTGTCGATACAGTTTTTATGAATGGCGGGAATCTGGTTTCAAAGCCACCAGCTGACTAATGGCACAGAGAAGTCCCATAATACTCAGTTTTTAATAATAAATGAACAGTCCTTTTTCTCGCTGTTGTTTCTTTTGTGTTGACAGTGAATTCGGCACCTCTCTAAGAGGTCACAGGCTATAGGACAATAGGATGTGTTACGTGGCTTCATTCTCGTAATTGATGGTTTCGTTTATACACTAGAACAGGTTTAAGTAATAAGCTAAGAGATACTGTATATATTGACAGAAATATAAATAATGACAAACTCCTTCAGCTGACTAGATTCATAATATAGCACGTCCTTGAATCCCTTTTGGGGTTTTATAAAATTCTTACAACATAATGAAATTATTAATGACAGATTTTCATTACCACCGCTTGTAAACATACCTGCAGCACAGTACTTTGATTAGTATTGTCATATATTAATTGATTTATTTTGGAAATATGTGTAGATAGTTCCTCTGGGTCGTAAGGAGATAAAGGCATCTGACCTGCTGAAGCATCTTCAACAGGAAGCAGATGAACAGAGAAAACAGAAAAGGCGACAGAACGTTTCTGGACTCCACAAGTGAGAAGACATGCATTACATTCCCGATTATTTAATATTATAATGACTTAAGTACAAATTGAAACATTAAAAGAATGCAGAAGGTTTTGTGGAAAACTAAATGTGACATTATTTCCAATTGCAGAAAATAGGGACTATGTTACGCTCCCTAAATGCATTGCTTGCTATCTGATCCCTTTCTGAGGGGCTGTTTACACCTGGCCACTTTATCTGATTTATCAAAACGATTCCATTTACACCTGGTCACATAAATGTGTTTTTGCAAAACGGATATAAATCCGATCTTCAATTCTCGCTGTAGATTTAATGGAGTGCACGTCTCTGAAAGCAACAGATATTGCTGTATTTTATTGATCATCAGCTTATTTCAAAATCAAAGTCAGCAATAAGAGAGAGTATTAACAGAACTGGTAAGATCATTTAGTTTCTTTTTAAATTTTTAGTTTACTTTTAATGAAGATGATTGTGTGTTAAGCGCCTGTGACGTTGCGATAGTCTTTTTAGATCACAGAAAACGCATGAAGTGGCCAGATGCAAACAGCCCCTAAGTGATCTGAAAAATATCCCTCGTTTGTCAGACACCTATTATGTTGTTGTGGGTAATTGGTGTAATTTCATCCATGTAATTGCGTTGGCTGCACAGAACACTAAGTGCAAATACTGAGCTCATTGTTCAGCGTTATTTATTATTTAGCATTTCATGGACTTATCCCCAACTTTTAATTTTTCACCCCTAGATACCTTCAACTTCTTGATGGAAAAGATCTCTACCCCTGCTTGGTTGACGCAGATGATCATGTGGTCTCATTTCCACCAATCACAAACAGTGAGAGGACTAAGGTAGTTTATGTTAAATATGACAAGGTTATTTCAGGTCTTGATGATGAAGGTGGATGGCCCTAATCAGACTTGGCTTTTTATGGGTTTTGTTTGACAATTACTATTTCTTCTCAAGAAGGAATTGAAAAGTATGTCATGACAAAAATAAAATATTTGTTCAAGCAGTGATAAATTCATACATTCTTGCCAATGTAAATGTATTTAAAGGAATACTCCACTTTTTTTGGAAATAGTCTCATTTTACCACTCCCCCAAAGTTAAACAGTTGAGTTTTACCGTTTTCTAATCCATTCAGCCGATTTTTCTTATTTTTAGAAGAATATCAGTAACCAGTTTCTGGTCTCATTGACTTCCATAGTAGGGAAAAAA